CCCCAAAACCCCAAAACCCCAAAACCCCAAAACCCCAAGAATGGACGGTTAGTTGAAAATAATATTAGTTCAAAAATTAGTGCCAATTACGAAACTTTGATGCCAATTCTAAAAGCAAGAGATAATGAAGCAGCCTTCCTTCTTACTGCTTGATCTTGCGGAGTATATCCCCAAATAGCTCTCTATATTTAGCTTCATTACTAGCCAAGATAGGAGAGGAAGTTATCACTTTCTCAATCAGCCCGCTTTCTTCCAGCATCTGAATGAATACCCGAGCTTCTCTTGTCAGAAGGAACTTTTGATAATTTTTTGCTGTAAAGCTTTTGAAGAAAGCTTTTAGAAGTATGAATAACTTCCTCTGATCAGGGTTCACCTCCACCGAGGCCTTGGTAGCGGGTCATCTACTATAGATCTGGGCATATGGGAATTTGTTCGTCATCACTGTGCTGAAACAGAATCAAACCTTCTCATCCTCATCAGGAGTTAGAGATTGTCCAATTTGACAGTTACGCTTTAAAAAACTGTGATAAAAATCTTTTACAAGTTGAGAATTTTTAGGGGAATATTTGTTTTTGAGCTTCTTTACATCATTCAGCTTAGAGAATTCCTCCCACAGGTACCTCCTGACAGACCTGAACAAGTTCTTTTGGAGGATATCCTTCCTTTGAGAGTGAGACCCAGGTTTGCCTGGAGCTTTGTTTGTTTGCAATGTTTTGTGGTTAACAGAAATTTCCCTTTTTATCTGACTTTGCTCGCTATCAGCAGAAGAAGTTCCCTCAATGAGAAGTGGAGGCTCTTCACTCAGGTTAAATTCTGGACAAAAATTGGCGTCGAGATAGCTCAGGAAGGTATCGACAGTTTCAGAATTTAAGTGATGATTTTGAATCATACATTCATTCGAAACCTCAGAAGTATCGGAGGTGATGATGAAGTCTGATCCCCAGGCTTTGTCATTAGCCCCTGAGGGTATTGAAGTCTTACTTAAGAGATTCCATGAGTTATCTTGTGGTATCTTAATCCCTATAGAGAGCAGTTAGATAAGAATCATAGGTGTTATCATAATTTCTAAACAGGTAATTATCATTTGAAAAGGGAAAATTTGCCAATCTGAAATTATCAATAGAAACTGTTGCGAACATTCTTGTCTATTTATAACGAAGGAATTTTATAAATTTCAGTTGATTAGGTTACTTTGGTAAGACATGCATAACATGAATTTTTATTTCACCTCCTTCATTTTTGATCATTCCCTTTTAAGGAAGTCAAGAAATATTCCTCTATCAGTATGTACTTAAAATGGGTTGCCAGCTAATTTCACAAATCGTGTTTAAAATTTACTCATCTTCTGAAGAAAGGAACTATCGAGGCATCTCTAATATCTAGGACTCAAATATTGGTTTATTCTCTCTAAAGTATCATTTTGAGATCATGTTCCTCTTTGTACCAATTATTGGGCATCTTGTGTTAAGCCAAAAGGTCACAGTGGTGTTTATTTTCAAACTCAGAAACATTCGTTTTGTCAGAAATATGTTGCGATATATATTAGGTATACGACTTTTACAAAATTACACTAATGCTCAGTAAGAAGAGTTATGAATATCATATGACGTGCGGCATGATTCATGGCAAATTAAAAGTGAAAAATACTTCAGAGAGAAATGCAAGCTTTGTGCTGGAGAAAGGGAAGGCTCATACCATTGCTTCAAAACTAGAGTTTTGATGCAAAATGGGAAGGAAAATGGAGTATTCCATTCCTTTAGGGCCAAATTTTGATACCTGATCCAATACTTCCACTTTTAGGAAGTATTATGGGCTATTTAGTTTGAGCCAGGAGTCTCTCATTTTGTTTTTATATGCAATTAATAATACAAAGATCCAAGAAGACTCCAACCCTGTTTATGTACATAGAGTTTTCTGGAGAATACTATCCGCTGATTAGTCGAGTTAGATTTCTGATCAATAATTAGTAGATTCCCAAATATGACAAAAATTAAGGATAAATATATCTAGCAAAAGAATTATACAGAGCTCAATTTTAAAATTGATGAAAGACAAACAGGCCAAAATTTCAGGAATTTGTTGCAGAGACTATCTCTTTTCCTCTTCGGATAAGTACACTTGTTCATGCCTCCTCCCCAAATTATAGGGATATCTTGGGAATAGCTTTATTTAAATGAACAAGTTAATCAGAATGTCCATTCCTGACCAAGATTGAAGAATTTAAGATTTGCAATATTTTTAGTATAAAATTTTAGATGAGAAAAACCAAAAGTGTCCCTTTTCGGGAAACAAGGCTTAGTGAACTTGAAGGACACGAGAGAATGATTACATCTCCTTACTAGAGAAGAGATAATCATAAAATTGACCAGATATCATTTAACAGAAGAAAAGTCTGAAAACTAAATATAAAGAATCTTCTTTTAAACGATATTCATCCCAAACTTTGTGGCTATACCTAAAGCGATCAAAGCTCTTCATTTATAGTTTGTGGAGAGTCAAAAGCCTAAGGGGCCCATATTACTTTATCTTCTGAAGGCTTCTTTAAAACATTGATAAAATTTGGAACTTCGAAGGGAAATTTAATACTCAAAAGCAACATCTAGTGTACCTCTTTCTTCTCTCTTGTTGCTGTGATCTCTGATACTTCTGGTTTGATATCTGGTGGATGATTTCATTGATGGGTAATTAATTATTATGTATAAACTCGTTTGTAAGCTTTTCAATCCTTCGATTTGTGTCTGGGGTTTTGGGGTTTTGGGGTTTTGGGGTTTTGGGG